TGTGTGGGCATCTAGTAGGAGATCATCTACATATTGTAGCAGGACTAGGTCCATTTCTGTATCAGCAAATGGCTTTAAGTCTCTGGCCAGGGCGTCTCCAAAGAGAGGGGGTAAATTTTTAAATCCTGTGGCAATCTGGTCTAGGTCAGTTGGGTCTTTGCCACAGTGTGGGAGACTTCCCATTTGAAAGCAAAGAGTGGTTGGCTCACCTTCACAAATCAGAAGCAGAAAAGGCATCCTTCAAGTCCAAACAGGTGAACCAGGCCATCTCTGGCAGGAGCTGGCTGAGGAGCGTGTATGGGTTCGGTACCATGGGGTGCAGTGCGATTGTTGCCTTGTTCACTGCTCACAGGTCTTGTACCGGCCTGTGTCCGCTCCCATCTGGCTTCTTCACTGGCAGCAAGGGAGTGTTCGTGGGGACTGGCATGGGACAAGTATACCTTCCCTCAAATGCTTCTGGATGACTTCTGTGATGCCTAGCCTGACCTTCCTGGGGATGGGGTACTGGTGGATCTGTGTTGGTCCGGCTCCTGGCTTCAGTTCTATGATTATAGGTGGATGGTTCCCTGCCAATCCTGGTAGGTTGTCTTCTGTTCAGACCTTTCAGTATCTCTTTCGAAGGTCAATCCCTCTTCCCTCTGTGGACTCCCATTGGCCTTCCTCTCCTTCCTTATATAGTCGATATTCTTCTTTCCAGAGAACTAAGACTTCTATGAGGTGTGGGGTGCCAACTTGAAAGTGAGCCTCTTACAATGGGAAAAAGGAGACCTGGGCTCCTAGCTTAGAAAGCAGGTCGCGTCCCAGGAGCAGAACCAGGCACTCCGGCATGTACAGGAATTCGTGCTTTACCCGGTGGCCCTGAGTTCTACAGTTCAGGCTTGACAAAACTGTTTAGGGCTACTAGGCTGTCCGGTGGTGCCAATGATATAGATCTCACGCCCTGAGGGAGTTGCAATTGTGGTTGTTACTACTGAATGTTCTGCCCCAGTATCTACCAAAACCGGGAGGGTTTGGCCCCCTACTATCACTTGGACCATTGGCTCATTGGAGCTGAGGTGTAGTGAGCCTGGTCTCCCCTAGTCCAAGTCTAGGCCTGCCAGACTGAGGATAGTAGGCACCTGGTTCTCAGGTCCCAATCGCCTATTGGCCTGCCTTTTCTTCTTTCAGTTGGGACATTCCCTTTTCCAGTGTCTCCTTTCTTTACAGTATGCACATTGGTTTGATTCCACACGCCAGTGTGTATGCTTGTTTTTCCCTCTGGCTGCTGGCCTTTCCTGGGTGGCAGGGGCTTTTCTAGCATGGCTGCTAGGAGGGCTGCCTTTTTCTCCATTCTTTTTCAAGCCCCCAGCTTGGCCGCCTCCTCTCTGTTATTGTACACCGTGTTGATAATCTCTATTGGCTTATGTTTATTCTGCCAAAGCCCTCGAGTTTCTGAAGCTTCTTCCTGATGTCTAAAGCTGATTGGGAGACAAACGCCAGGTTGACCATTCTCTGGTTATCTGGCCCTTCAGGACTGAACAGGGTGTATATCCGATAGGCCTCATACAGACGTTTGTAAAAATCCCTAGGACATTCATCAGGCTACTGAGTCACATTAGCTACCTTTGACATGTTAGTAAGCCATCAGGCCCGGATTCTGTGGAGAAGGGCATTTCTGTATCTTTGAAGTGCGGCCCTTCCTTCTTCTGAGTGGTGGTCCCAGTCAGATTGGGCCTCAGATGCTGCTGTTCTTGCCCATTGGACTGGGTCTAAAGTGCCCATGGGCGCCGTGGTCTTCATATATCAGTGGGATTCCTGGAGAATGCACCTTCGCTCCTCAGTGTTGAACAGAGTGAGGAGTAGCTGTCAGCAGTCGTACCAGTTGAGACGATGCGTCTGCATGATGGATTCCATAAGGTCAGTCAGGGCCTGGGGTTTCTCCAAGTAGGACAGAGTATGGTGCCTCCAGTTTAAGAGGTCAGTGGTGGTGAATAGTTGGTAATAAATGATGGTCCATCCTGGCTGCTCGGTACCATCTGAGGTACCAAGGCCTGGGTCTCCCTGAGAGGCATCTGGAGTGGCTGCCATTGTCAGCACCTTGTCAAGACTGGGGAGGCCGGGGGCACTTCTGGAGCTGGTGCTGGCAAGACAGATAGTGGTGGAATTTCAATTTCGGGGGCCCAGGGGACTATCTCAGGTGCATATCGGGAGGTAAGTGGATGGGCAGTTCTTCCTCTGGGTCGCCTTTGAGAATGGGGGTTGGCACCTCCTTAGATTGAGCCACGAGGACGTGGGCAGGGACTACCTGGGTTTGGCAACGTGAGGTCTTTCTTTTTGTTCCAGTTACCCCTGTCAATTTTGGCTTCTGCACAGCACAGCGCTGGGGCCACTTTAGCATGTCTTGAGCTAGTTCCTGCCAACTATCTATGTAGATGTACTGGTCTGGGTGTCACAGCCTCCCTGTTACTATCAGATGTACTGCTTGTATTATTCCTAGATTGAGGGTTCTCTCAGGGGGCCAGCCTACCCTAAAACTAGGCCATTCGGCTGAACAGAAGGTTTCCAATTGGCTCAGGGTCATGCTTGGATCCTGGCCCCAGAACCAATCAAAATTCTGCAACATGCAGTTGAGTACTGTTGATGGGCCTCTTCCCATGGTTTCTCCTCCTGTAACAGTGCAGACAGACAAGGAGTGGGGATTTTTGGTTCGCCCGCCTGGCCGCTCCCCTTGTGGGGATTTAGGTGCCTCTTAGCTTTGGCAGGTCAGTACAAACCCCTGACTTGGATCAGGTTCGCAGGTAGGGAATGTGTCCCCCAGAACCTAATACTGCCCTGAGCCGTATAAGGTCACCATGGTACTGCAGATTGGGGCCCACTCAGACTCCGTAGATTGGTACTGGTGGAGCCACACAGACATTCACACTCATTCACACACTGACATTCAAACGCGTTTAAACTGTCCCTCCTGTTAGGGTTTGCCCTACCTGGTGGCCGGAAGGCCTGAGAGGTGATCAGTCTCTCCTACCTCAAGGGTGGACTTGTACTCGAGCTCGTGGTCCCGAGGGCACTCACTAGTCCTGAAGCTGTGCAGGTCCCGAAACTGGACCCGTTTGTTTCCCCTGGTAGCCCGGGTGGGGTGTGAACCTTGCCAGCAGCTGGCTGCGGATCCTGGAACGGGCAGGAACCCAAAATGACCAGGGCGCGTGCTTCCCTGCGTCACAGGGCTCCACGGAGCACCTGTGGGGCCACCTCACCGGTGGCAATCGGCTGCTCATGTGAGTTGTTTCCCGGTCAGGGAACCAAATGTTATGGGAAAGACTCAGACAGAACACCAGAGGAAGTGAAGAGGTTCCTTTATTCACACATGCGGACCCAGAGGAGGCAGTCTTCAAATTCTGGGCCCTAAGTTGTAGGGTGTGCCTAGCTTTATAGTGGCTGGGCGGGGCATTCTTTTGGCGCAAAAGCAGTAAGCAACTTACAGAAGCAGGAAGCAAAAAGGGTCATGTCATTTCTAAAATGGTGGCTCAATTAAAATGGCAGTTCACTTCCTCTATCAGTTATGCTGTTTTCCATATGAGAGGTGCTATAACAACCCAGAACTGCAGGGATTGTTTCACTTTGATCTGGAGGAAAACATGCTCTCAAGTGCTGTGTGACCTGCCTCAGCCTGGTGAAGGGCTGCCTATGGGTGTGGCTCAGCCACTTCATTAGATTCAGATCTGTCACCTGTCACCAAGCCAGAACTGTAAAGGCCCATTACATAATTTTAATAGTCAATCCTTAAGCCCAGACATCCTCTAAATGCTGCTGGATCTGGTCATATTTTTGCTGCTGAGTCCATGATGTCTTACAGGTATCTTAGGGACAGAATGTATGTATTGCACAAACACCCTGTTGTCCAAGTGGGGTATTTATATTAGAATGGTGGCCTACAAAAGAAAGCAAGAAAGACTTAGGGGTGTTTTACCTTGCAGGTCTACTTGTGGACACTTCAGGTTCTTAGGAGGCTCAGTGATTGCACAAGATCATATATGAATATTCCTGGGAATCCAAAAATACAGACATCTACTCCTGCTCCGTCCTAGTTCTTATCTTTATTACAATAACAGGCCTTTAGCTAAGAGTCCAACAGACCTTTGCTAGTAGCCAACAATTTGGATTCAAAAGGGAAAACATATTGAAGTACTTTGTAAACAAGTTTATGGTGTTTGAAAAGCTTGTCACCTTGACAGTCTGGCCAAACATTTTTGAAAAATGATGTTACACAACTAGATGTCAAGTTATATCTGCCTTGGAAATAAAGAGACTGAAGAATAAATTGACCAGAAGACTCTCAAAGGACAGTCAGGCTTTAGAAACTCAGTTTTGAGTTTAAAATCAACCTGTATGACTGGGCAGTGCTTTACTTGTGTTGCTGTTGACCTCAGCGCCAAGCCCCAGTTCTGAAGGGCCTTGGCTGGCACACTCAGCTGTAGTCATGCACATCTGCATAAGAGCTTAAGCATCCAGACTCTACCCAAATCTAGGCAGTGACTGAATATGGTTTGATGACATTTGGAATGTGTATCAAACACACAAGCGAATAGTTTGAAGTCCATTTCAAATCTGGTGGAGGCCTAAAATGTCTAACTTTTCCTCTTGGCCACAATACTCCTTTTAGATATTCAGTGTAAAAAAAAGGCTTGACTCAGCAGTTAGAGCTTCGGCCCTCGAACCAAAGAGTCACAGGTTCTACAGGTTTGATCCCCTGCTCAGTCAAGGTCCTGTGGGAGGCAACCAGTCAATGTGTCTCTCCCACATTGATGTCTCTGTCTCTCTCTCTCTCTCCCTTCTACTCTACCTAAATATCAATAGAAAAATATCCCTGGGTGAGGTTTAACAACAACAGAGGACCAGTTCTTTGTTGTTCTTTGACTTAAACAGGTGTGCTACTGTCCAAGAGGAATGTGGTTCCTTGATTTTAGGTGCTGCTGCATGAAACTAATGATTTTCTTGTGATGTGTCCTCCCACCCCCTGCCAGGAAGGGCGCCTGTGGCCTGCAGACAGCTCCAGTTCTCGGCCAGGTGCCTCAGAGGTAAGGGTTGGACAAGGAGGAGTGTGGATGACTGGAGGTGGCTGCTCAAATTGATATGCATGGAGGAAGGGAGGGGGGAAGTAAACCAATACAACAAAATAGATGAAAAGTCAAATGTATGACAATATAGATTAAGTGTCATTTAAATTAAGGCATATACCTATAACTTTGGTTTTAAAAAGTGGGAGAGGAGATTTTTAGAATCTCATAGGGATTATTTGTGGTAGTCTAAAGAAAACAGGTTGAGAATCACTGATCTTTATGTGATCCAATAAGCTGCTAATAATGAGGCAAAAGTGATGAGAAGACTGTGTAAGAATTCACTTTGGAAAAAGACTCTATAATCATATTTACTTTGTAATACGAAGCACTTTTCATGTCAGTTACTAAAAGTAGCTACAGGAAACTTTTATCTAGAAAGAAATAACTGTAAAGGTTTAGAAACCAGAAAGAAAAAGAGGTCACTTGTTCCATATTTTTCTAAGTACTTGATAGGGTAACAAGCTCCTATAAATAATTCATAGCTCGGCCGGTGTGGCTCAGTGGTTGAGCATCAACCCATGCACCAAGAAGTCGCTGGTTCGATACCCGGTCAGGGCACATGCCCAGGTTGTGGGCCTGATCCCCAGTGGGAAGCATGCAGGAGGCAGCCAGTCGATGTTCTTTCTCATTGATATTTCTATCTCTCTCTCCTTCCCCTTTCCTCTCTCTCTAAAAGCAATAAAGAAAAATATTTTTTTCTTTAATAAATAAATAATTCATATATTGACCCAGTGCCTCCTACCTGTCATAAGTACTATCACGTGAAGTTATAACTTAATTTACAATGAGCTACTGCACCCTCTTCTGAATCATAGGTGGGAGAGTGGGAAGGGACCTGAGAAAGCCAGCAGGCCAGCCCTCTTCCTTTACACAGAAAGGAGTGTAGGCCTGAACCAGGTCCTGTGCTGAACAGACCAGGGCTGTCTGCACAGCACTCTTCGATATTGCTGTTTACTGCCCTCTGGAAGTTATAGTTGTATTCTACCTGACCCAGTAGGAAATGTCTACATAGCATATGCAGCAACTCCCATTAAATCCATATTTTCAGTTAACCACAATTGTCCTTTGTCGAACCATCTTAGATAATTTTAGTTTGGCAAGGTGAGTGGTCTAACACATTAGGAATAATAAAACTACATTTTTTTCTGGGACAGCCTTTTGTTTTGTTGGAGGAGGAAAAGTTTCAGACAGGTGAGAACACAGACCAAGTGTGAATTTTCTTGATATAATCATGTTTGTGATTATTACTGTGCCAAGAATGTCTTCAAGCCTTTGTTCTTTTCCTTGCAGATCATGTATGCCCCTCGGTCTAGGGACAGGCTTACAGCCCCATCCTTTATCCAGAGAGACCGGTTCAGCCGCTTTCAGCCCACCTACCCCTATGTGCAGCATGAGATTGACCTTCCCCCTACCATCTCCCTGTCTGATGGGGAGGAGCCACCTCCTTACCAGGGGCCCTGTACCCTGCAGCTCAGGGACCCCGAACAGCAGATGGAGCTCAACCGAGAATCTGTGAGGGCCCCGCCCAACCGGACCATTTTCGACAGCGATTTGATAGACATTTCTGTGTACAGTGGGGGTCCATGCCCTCCCAGCAGCAATTCAGGCATAAGTGCCAGCACCTGCAGCAGTCACGGGAGGATGGAGGGTCCACCCCCAACGTACAACGAGGTGATGGGCCACTACCCAGGAGCCTCTTTCTTCCATCACCAGCACAGCAACACACACAGAGGGAGCAGACTGCCATTTCAGCACGACAGCTCGGGGAGCACAGTAGTGCCCATCCAGGGCAAAGACAGGAAGCCTGGGAATCTCGTCTGATCCTACAGCATGCACTTGAGAAAAAGAAACCAAGGAGGGAGGAGAGCCACACGCTCCTTCGCTCTGGCCACAACGTTGTTCAGTTTTACATGTTACAACTAAGTAAAACAAAATGTGCATATGTGGTCTTTGTTTCTGATTCCTTTCAGGGGAATTGCATGCAAACCAGACTAAAATAATACAAACTTCCATCCCATCTGACCATAAACCAGGTTTGTTTAGGGGCAGGCATCGAAAGGGTGGATGGCTTTGGCAAAGGGCGGGCATGGGAACACAGAGAAAGGGATGCTTTGAAGATATCATGAAATAAAACCCAGAGGTATTTGATTTATTTAATTATGAAAGGAGCCTGCAGAGAAAGAGGCCAGAATGTCCTGTTTTATAATTAACTAAATAAAGAAGAAAGCATAATCATGGGGAAGAATTCGCCCATTTGCTTTTTCTCCCAAGGTGTGAAACTTTTATTTTGTTATAAAAATATGATTCAAAATTCCTGTTTTTTGTGCCAAGGTATAAAGTGGAGAAGTTAGATGAATGCAAGGAGTTAACTTGTGTGGTTATGATGATGTGTTCTTAAAAGTTGCACTATCTTAACGTTTAAAATATATATGAGGGAACTGTTTTATGTGACATTCTGTATGTTGTCTTTTCACCTGTGGATTATTATTAGGCCTAAGGAATACCCTAGAGTGCTTCCCATAATCGTGCAAGAAAAGATGTTTGGGGATGTAGCCCAACATGACAACTTACGTAAATCCAGAAAGTCATTGTAAGAGTTTGCATCAGATAGCAGTGCATCACTGAAGCATTAGAGACCTTTGGATGGATGATAAGAAATACTAAATTTCAGCATTTCTGACTTGTTGAGTTACTCTGCTAGCTTAGGCTGCCTATTTTATTAAAAAGGTCTCGACACATGCATTTACGTGTCCAGTATTGCAGCTGCCCTCATCCTCCAGCAGTGCAGTTCTTCAGTAATGTAGATTTTTTTCTATAGCATGAAATATACTCAGATACATACATTATTTTATGCAATAAATTGTTTAAAATGCAAGGTGGTTATTTTTAATACTGTTGAAATATGTGACTTCTCAGTGTATTTCCATTGTCTCTCTCATTTTCTAGATAGTTCAGTTCAGTCCAGTCAGTGCTCAGGAGGCTGTCAGCAGTCACTTCCGTGAAGCCCGCCCAGCCTCGGTGTGTGAGGGATGCTGGCAGTGGCTTCTTCACGCATTGGAAGCCCATGGAATTGACAAAGAATACCATGTTGCTGAGCATGATAATAAGTCATTTCACTTCACTAGTTAGTACTGGAGCAGCATTCTCGGAGGAATGCAGTGCTCAAAGCCCAAACTCCCTCGGGAGCTCATTCAGCTTTTGCAGTGGTTGCCAGAACTGGATAGTCACTTACAGAACAGTGCAGGGCAGGAGAGCAACTTTAAAAGCACAGGGTAAAAAGCACAACATGCAGTTAAAATGCAACTAGAGACTAATTTTAAATATTAGTTTTAGTTTTAATATTCCGATATTTACAAACATTTGTTCTTATGTAAAATAATTAACTTTCTTTTGGGGAAGTAAGCATCTGGCTTTTATAATAGCACCAGCCAACAAGTTCAACCAATACCATACCATGGGAGGGCTTACCCGTAACAATATCCTGCTCTACACAGGTTAGGTCCCTTTGGACTCTGCATGTAACAAAATGGATTGTAATGATAACTCAGTGACTCTGATCACTGCAGTTTTAATGCCAAATAACACATGTGCTATAATCTGTCTGTGAGTCTCTGAGGCGATTTATCAGTAAGGTGAATTTGTGCTGTTGGCTGAGAGTTGTGAGACTGTTCTGAACTGCAAGTCCTGTCTGCTGCCCCCTGTTTCTTTCTGCTGCTTCTCTTGGTCGGTCGGTAGGTTGCTAGTTTTTTGTTTTGTTTTGAGGATTGGACTCTTCATTAGATTGATTCATTTTACCCAGCAACAGCCACAGAACTTGTCAAACTCTTAGAGAAAAAAGGTGGCAACATTTGTCATTCATACTCCAGACTGTTGTTGGGATGTGTGTATGCTAAGAGGCACAGTGGGAATTGCAAGACTGGCCAGAGCCCTGGGAGCCTTGACTCGGAACCAGAGCCTCATAACCAGTCAGCTCATTGCCTGGACCACAAACCTGTGCTTGAAGGAAGCTGGAACTCTTTGTGCATGAAGCCTTGTCTCACACTGTCAGATGATTAGGAAGCAATTATCCCCATCAGGACCCCACTGGTGAAGGTTCAGAGTAGATCATTAGTCAGGTGTTTCCTCAGATGAAAAATAACAAGGTTAGCTAATGATATCATCATTCCAAAACTTGCCTGCAATTTTGGTAAAGTGGTGGTGAACCCACCCTGTAACTCTAGCTCAAAATGTTTTTACATTCCTTAACTTTTCCTACCTGCTGCAAAAATGAATTGCAGTCAGAAACTTGTCAATTCTTGGTCACTTTGCAAGTATATGAATGTTTTGCAGATGTCCATAGTATTGGCAAAACAATTATTTAATTCAAATAAATTACATTATCCTTCAAAAGAGAGGCTCGTCCCATTCAGACACTCTGGAGAATTGCCCTTTAAGTTAAATAGTTATTTAAAGACAGAGACATATGAAACCATGACTTGAATGGTTTAGAGGCTGGGCCTCTGTTATGAATTAGTTTAAAAGCCAAGGTCATAAATTGAATCAATAGTCAATTTCCCTTTGACATAGGGAAAAGTTGATTTAGATCAATAACTCTTTTGAAGGTTGTGGCTGACCTGTTCATACGATGTCACCTCCTTGTTGGCCTGGTGTGGAGAGAGGAGTGATCGTGAAGATGCAACCTACACAGTGGGGCCTAATGTTCCAGAAGCCTGGGCCCCAGGGCCCAGTTTAGCAAGCACTGATTTAGGCAATCAATAATAAATAGGTTGATTACTTTTCAGTAGTGTTAAAACAAAGGGTTGCATGTTCAAAAAAACAGCTGGTGGGAACTGATACTCTGGGCATCCTGCTGTGACTTGTCCATTTTCCCAGTGACTTCTAGGAGTATGAAACCCATTTAGAGGAAAACAGTTTTCAGGCATATATTTGTTTTTTCAGAAAGTCTAGTGTTCTTCAGACCCTGAAGCAGTCCTTAGTACAAAGATATTTTGCTAAACAAATTATGCATTTAAAAAGTTAAACTATTCTTTGTGTTTCTGACCAAAATTTAGTGTTAAAGAAGCTTGACAAGCATATCTTCTGTCCTCCCCATCACATATACACACGGACCACAAGAAATTTCGAAATAGCAGAGAAGAATATTTGAAACTTACAAAGATTTGCCTGGCGAATGTGGCTCGGTGGATTGAGTTGTCCCATGGACTGAGAGGTCCCAGTTCAATTCTGGTCAGGGCACAAGCGCAGATTGTGGGCTCAATCCCCAGCAGGGGGCGTGCAGGAGGCAGCCAATTGTTTCTCATATGGATGTTTCTATCTCTCCAAAAAAATCAATAAAAACATTTAAGGAAAACTTACGAAGATTTGTCATGAGGATACACATACAGCCACTAAACTTATGGGAGAGGAAATAGGGACCAACAGTGGAGGCCAACACCATCTGGGAATTGGTGCACAGATGAGTGCTTCTTTGGCTTCTAATATTTCCATTTGATCTTCACTGTTATCTTCATAAAAATGAAGTGTCAACAGGCAACTACTTTCAGAAAACTACTGCTATCTAGAAGAATCCATTCAAATCCCTGCCTCCATCTCAGAACCGGTAGTAGCATCCTGATAGGGGTGATCCTGTATCTTCCATCTAATTGCTCTTCTCTCGAGGAAGTCTTTTTTAGGAAGAGTTCCAATCAATGGCCTTCAGATACTGGTCCACAGACAAGATATATACCAGTCCAGCCCCCGCCCCTCAAAACAAAGTCTGCCCATGCCTTGGCCACACCAGCTCCTGATTTTTCCCAGCCGCCTCCTGCTTGCTGCGCTTCTTGAGGTTTGCTGCTCAGAATGGCAGTGTTCACTGCATGTTCATTGGTATGCCATTCATTTTTCTTAAAACTTCTAAAGCTCAGCAGTATATGAAGGAAAATACCTGGGAAGGATACTTGATTTTTGTTAACTTTTTAATTTTGTCTAAGTGACTAAAAGCAGAAATATGCCAGTGCTTGGCACCAAGTCTTTATACAGTGACACATTCCCCCAAGTCTGCCTCAGCACTCTCTGCCAGCATCGCCAATCTTAGTTGAAGAGCAGGGACACGGGCTCCTGGTCTGCTTACTTTCACCTAGATTACCTTGGCAAATTTGAATAAAGTAGCACTATTGGGTGACAAGTTGGCAAGTCTCCCTCCTCAATGTAAAGAACACTGTATCTTACAGTGTCACACCAAACTCACAGATTAAGCAACTTTGCTTTCACCCCAGGTCACAAATGACAGTCTCGCAGCTTTGCAGCTCACCTCATTTATGGATTTAAATGAGACCAAGGCCGTGCTACTCGCTGCCAAAATCAGAGAGGTGGATGGAAAGTATTCTCCTGCCTGATGATCTTCTACATTTCAGCTTAGGTCATGTTACTACCCAAAGTTCTATATCTTTTGCATAGTTCAAGTTACTAATTTCTGTCAGGGTTAGACAGTCTTTTGTTGCTGCTGCTGCTTTCTGGGTTGGCTGCATGAGGAAACTGTCATGTATGAGTGGGATGCCTTGCTAAGAAAGCACTGTCTTCCTTTCATCCTTTTCTTTCCTTCCTCAGTGTGTGCTTGTTTCAGTGTACTGTGGTGGGGCTTAGAGCTTTACAGAGATTATCACTATACGATACATGCGTATTATATGGATCCCTATAATTGCAGAGAGCTCTGCATGTCAGTAGTTTTTAAGCAACTGAATTATCTCATGCTCTGGTTTTAGCAGACATAGGAGCTGAGCCCCCACCACTGCCACACTCCATGCTCCCATCCTTGTTGTGCCTCACTTATAATGGTGCTTCTTCAGTTGTCTTTTCTTACATTTTTATTTGTAAGGTGCTGTATATAACTTGAATATATTATGCACATATCCTACCCAATGGGTAGAATAAACATTAACACTGTAATATAATGTACAGATACCAATTTTAAAAGAAATGGCATAGAATTTGTGAATTTCTATGTGCTTTGTTCTCTTTTGTAAGGAAATTTGCAAATGGATGCATACAGATAAAAGTCTATGTAGTTTATTTTCCTATTAAATATCAATATTATTACACGAGGGGAAAAGTCTGAACAAGCAAGCCACAGTTTATGACCAGCGTATGTATAGCAATTGAGAGTTGCATCCTTGCTGTGAAAACACTTTTAAAAAATAAGTTTAAAAAATTCCATAGCTTTTTGGTCACCACTACATGCTTCTTCTTTTAATCTCTTAATGCTCTGTTGGACAAGTGTTAGAAAAAACTTTTTTTGATTTTTCAACTTGTTTTATGAAAAGACATTATGCAGCATAGAATAGACCCCAGAGAAAGTACACATTTTGTGAAATTACATCCAACGTAATTTGTCCTGCAGCAGAGGCTTTTGTTCAGTACAGAGGCTTTTATGACCATCTGTGTCCTGAGTCTCTCCCTGCCTTTTTCTTTCACAAATTGAAGCTGTAGAGCCAATGAAATAACAGTAGAATTGTAGGGAAAGAATACCTCAGGAAAATTGAATCCACTAATAAGACCCCATTCTTCAAAAAAAAATGTCATTGTGGATTACGAGTTATGATTATCAGAGAATTAGCTATCAGCCTGCTAAGTGAAGAATCTTATGATGTCTCATGGTGATCTTGACCCAAAAACAAATTACTTTTGCCACCAGTTAGGGATTACATTTGCAGTTGCGTGCTATGTCACACTTCTCTTATACAGTGTCTACTTCTAGCTCAGTTTTTAGTGTCTGACTGTGACCTCTGCATTTATCCTCAAATATTCTAATATTACAAAAAAAAAGCCTACAATAACATGTTTACTGAACCAATGTTGAACATGGGTGTGAGCATCCTTTCCAGTGTAGCCTGTCACTAGAGGATATTAATTCCAATAAATTCCATGGTTTATATTTGCTCTGTGGTGTATGTTCTGGTCTTGAAAATCACAATAGGATCATACCCTTATCGTCCAGAAAAAAAATTATTACCAATTATCCTTAAACTGAAAATGCCTCTACAATGCAGCTCTTTATGCTAAATGGACTAACCAGAGATCATTTATTATCTGTTTTGAAAGATCCATGAAAAGATCATTCTCTTGTGTGTTCTCTATCCTGTCCCGCCCCCACTGTCTGCTCCATTGTATACTTCAGGGCTCCCCTATGCTTCAGCATTAAGAACAGAGGCTCATTACTGTCAGGAACAACACTCCCACCCCTCCAGGTTTGATCTCTTGTTGAGTGTGGGTATCATCAGAGAATGTTCTGGACTCAGAGGTACTAAAATTTGTTACCACACCATTGCTTTCCTTCTATAGAATGAACTGAGGCTTAAACTTTACTGTTAATAATACTGGTTCATTTCAATGGTATATTGTTATTTTTCATTTCATGGTTTTCAAAAATCACGTTTTCTAATTGTATACTTGTCTAGTGTAAAACTGTTTTAAAGTATGTAATACTATTCACAGCATTTAGTTCATTTAATTATTATAAATCAGATTACTTAAAAGTACAACTGTATTTGTATTTTTCAAGTTGATCACATGAGTTATGATAGTCAGAAGTCATTAAAGTATTTTTTAACAGCCATTTGTGCTTACTTTTCAAAATAATTCCTAGTTATATACTGAAAAAATTCCACCTGTTGTGTATCTGCCTCTTTTTAACTGAGCAATGGTGATGTAGTTCTTAGACCTAAGGTCTGTAATTGCAATACTTTTAAAGAAAGATGTTGCTATAAGTGCTGTTAAAGTTATGAAATCAGCTTTTTCTGCTTGTTCTTAATGCTGTGGTCAAACCATAGCACAACATTATTAAAAATAATCAGTGATATACATGTGTCCTAGTTTGTTTTTTAATCTTTCAAAAACAAAGCACATGTGGCAGGGCAGGGAGGGGGACTACATATGTTTTATCTTTTTTTAATTTATTTATTTTTTATTTATTAATTTATTTTTGTTACAGATGTTTCTCATTTTCCCACCAGACACCCTCCTCCTGATCCTGACCTACCCCCTTCCCGCCCCCCCCCCCCCATAGTATTGTTGTCTACGTCCATTGCTTACCCCTACATGCATATAAGTTCTTTGGTTTACCTCATCTCTTCCCCCACCCCCTCCTCTGAAGTTTGTCAGCCTGAAACATACTCCTTTCTATATCTCTGGGTCTATTTTGTTTATAAGCTTTTTTTGTTCATTATATTCCACAAATAAGTGAGATTGTGTGGTATTTGTCTTTCTCTGATTGGTTTATTTCACTTAGCATAATGCTCTCCAGGTTCTTCCGTGTCATTTCAAAATACAGATCTTTCTTTCTTATAGCTGCATAGTATTCCACTGCATATATGTACCACAGCTTTTCTACCCATTTATCTATTGATGGACACTTGGGCTGTTTCCAGATCTTAGCAATTGTAAATAGTACTGCTATGCACATAAGAGTACATATATTCTTTCTGATGGGTGTTTCGGGCTTCTTAGACTATATTCCCACAAGTGGGATGACTGGGTCGAATGGCAGTTCAATTCTTAATTTTTTTAAGAAACACCATGTCGATTTCCATAGTGGCTACACCAGTCTGCATTCCCACCAGCAATGTACTACAGTCCCCTTTTCCCCATATCCTTGCCAGCACTTGTTTGATAATTTGTTGATGGCGCCATTCTGGCAGGTGTGAGGTGATACCTAATAGTCATTTTAATTTGCATTTCTCTAATGATTAGTGATGCTGAGCATTTTTTCTTATGTCTCTTGGCCATTTGCATGTGCTTTTTGGAGAGGTGTCTATTTAGGTCCTTTTCCCATTATTTAGTTGGGTTCTTTGTCTTCCTTTGTTGAGTTGTATGAATACTCTATATATTTTGGAAATTAACCCCTTATCTGATGTATTGTTGGTAATTATGCTCTTCCATATAATGTGTTCCCTTTCCATTTCAATGCTTGTTTCTTTTGCTGTACAGAAGCTTTTTAGTTTGATGTGGCCCCATGTATTCATTTTATCCATTGATTCTTTTGCCTTAGGTGAAAATTCTGCTATGTGTGATGTCTGAAATTTTGTTGCCTACATTTTCTTCTAAGATTTTTATAGATTCATTGGTCACATTTAAGTCTTTTATCCATTTTGAATTTATTCCTGTGTGTGGTGTAACTTGGTGGTCTAGTTTAATTTTTTTGCATGTAGCTGTCCAATTTTCCCAACACCATTTATTTTTTTCCTTGTTAAAATATTATACTGCTTGAGTACATAGACATTTTATGCAACCAGGGCAGAGGCTGTGGATGACTCATATTTCCAATTGGGGTGGGGGGTATTCTTTTGGTCTGTAATATTGAGTCAATCGGTGAATATGGCTCTCAATCAAAACCAGACAGAATTTAGCATCCTTATCCTTTCTGTTCCTCTCAAGATGCTTTTGAACAGCAACAGCTTTCTTAATTAAATGGTAGAGATCCTCAAAAAGATCAGGAGCAAGTCTTTTGGACTTAAGAATTCTCAAGATTCTATTGTCTGTCACAAAGCGTGCTTGTGCTATGCCACGTGAATCTCTCAAGATCACATTGATTTGTGAGGGAGTCAGGCCCTTCTTGTAGATTTGCTCCTTCACATCGACAGATGTCAACTTCAGCCAGATGGGGATGCTGCGGTGGTATGGCAGAGCCGACTGGGATAGGACCTTTCCAGGAACGGGCATGCGAACCATGATGGCGGCTGACTGAAAGTGGAAAAGAACCCAACACCATTTATTAAAGAGGCTGTCTTTACTCCAAAGTATGCTTTTGCCACGTTTGTCTTGGGTCAATTTCTGGGTTCTCTGTTCTGTTCCATTGATCTATTTGCCTGTTCTTGTGCCAGTACCAGGCTGTTTTGCTTATAATGGCTTTGTAGTATAACCTGAAATCCAGTAATGTGATCCCTCCTACTTCTTCTTTTTCAAGATTGCTGTGGCTATTCAGGGTCTTTTTTGGTTCCATATAAACTTTTGAAGTTTTTGTTCTAGTTCTGTGAGATATGTTGTTGGTGTTTTGATGGGGATTGCATTGAATTTTAGATTGCTATGGGTAGTATGGATATTTTAATGATGTTAATTCTTCCAGTCCGAGAACAAGGTATATGCTTCCACTTTTTTATATCTTCCTCTGTTTCTTTTTTTCAATGTCCTGTAGTTTTCTGAGAACATGTCTTTACTTTTTTGATTAAGTTTATTCCTAAGTATCTTAATTTTTTTTCTGCAATGATAAATAGAATTGTATTTTTAGTTTCTCTTTCTGTGAGTTTATTATTGGTGTATAAAAATGCCATCGATTTCTTAATGTTAGTTTTGTATCCTGCTACCTTGCCAAATTTATTTATTAAATCTAGTAAATTTTTTGCCCTGGCCGGATTGGCTCAGCGATTAGAGTGTCAGCCTGTGGTCCAGAGAGACCCAGGTTTGGTTCCTGCTAAGGGCACGTACCTCAGTTGCAGTTTGTCCCCGCACCTGGTTGGGTCGTGTGGGTGGCAACCACTCGATGTGTCCCTCACTCACTCTCTCTCTCCCACTCTATCTGAACAAAAAATGGAAAACTGTCCTCGGGTGAGGATAAAATAAATAAATAAATATAGTAAACTTTGGATGGAGTCTTCAGGGTTTTTTATGTACAATATCATGTCATCTGCAAATAATGAGTTTCACTTTCTTCTTTCTAATTGGATCCCTTTCATTTTTCCTTCCGGTCTGATTGCTGTGGCTAAGTCTTCCAGTACTATGTTAAATAAGAGTGGCAAAAGTGAGCATCCTTGTCTTGTTCCTGTTCTTTAAAAAAATTATTTTAATTTTTGCCCATTGAGTATGATGTTGGCTGTAGGTTTTTCATATATGGCCTTTATGGTGTCAAGACATGCTCCCTCTCTTTTCATATTGTTGAGTGCTTTTATCAGAAATGGGTGCTGGATTTTGTTCAATGCTTTTTCAGTGTCTGTTGACATGATCATATGCTTTTTTTTTGTTGGTTTGTTTTTAATCCACACCCAAGGACATTTTTTTTGCATTTATCTTCAGATAGAGCAGGAGGGTGAGAGGGGGAAGAAAGAGAGAGAGAGAGAGAAACATCGATGTGAGAGGGACACATCAAGTGGCTGCCATCTGTATGACCCCAACCAGGGCCAGGGATAAACTGCAACTGAGGTATGTGCTCTTAGTGGGAACCTAACCCGGACTCTTTGGTCCACGGCCCGACACTCTAACTGCTGAGCCAAAACTGCAAGGGCTTGATCATAAGGTTTTTATCTTTAATTTTGTTTATGTGGTGTATCACATTTATTGATTTGTGAATATTGTACCAGCTTTGCATCCCTGGAATGAATCCCACTTGGTCATGGAGAATAATTTTTTAAATGCATTGCTAGATCTGATTTGCTAATATTTTGTTCAGGATTTTGGCATCTGTGTTCATCAGGGATATTGGCCTGTAGTTTTCTTTCTTTGTAGTGTCTTTTTTCTGGTTTTGGAATTAGAATTATGCTTGCCTTATAAAACAAGTTTGGAAGTCTTCCTTCTTCGTGAATTCTTTGAAATAGTTTGAGGAGAATGGATATTAGTTCTTTGAATGTTCAGTAAAATTCCCCCGTGAAGCCGTCCGGGTCTGGGCGTTTGTTTGCTGGGAGAATCTTGATTAAATCTTCAATTTGTTTTGTTGTTATTGGTCTGTTCAAGTTTTCTATGTCTTTCTGGTTCAGTTTTGGGAGACTATGTGTTTCTAGAAATTTGTCTATTTTGCTTAGATTGTCAATTTTGTTGCCATATAATTGTTTATAATATTTGTTAATGATCCTTTGCATTTCTGTGGTGTCAGTTATTATTTTTCCTCTTTTATTTCTGATTTTGTGTATTTGGGTTCTCTTTCTTTGTTTCTTGGTGAGTCTAGTTAAGGGTTCATCAGCCTTACTTATCTCTTCAAAGAACCAACTCTTTGTTTCATTGATTCTTTAAATTGGTTTTTTTTTTTTTGGTCTTCATGTCATTTTTTTTTTTTTTTCTCTGATCTTTACTATTTCCTTTCCTCTACCTGCTCTGGGGTTTTTTGTTTGTTTGTTTGTTTTCTTTCTAGTTCTCTAAGTTGTGAGGTTAGATAGTCAATTAGAAATGTTTCTTGTTTCCTGAAGTAGGCCTGTACTCCTATGTTTGTTCATGTTCATTGGTTTCCAGGAAGTTTTTAATTTCTTCCTTGATCTCCTTGGTAACCTATTCATTGTTTAATAACATGCTATTTGGCCTCCATGAGTTTAAATGTTTTTGCTGTAACTGATTGCTAGTTTCATGTTATTGTGATCTGAGAGGATGCTTAATATGATTTCAATCTTCTTATACTAGTAGAGACTTAGTTTGTATGCTAACATGTGGTCTGTCTTTGAGAATGTCCCATGTGCACTTGAGAAGAATGTGAACTCTGTAGTTTTGGGGTGTAATTCTGTGTAGATATCTATTAAATCCATTTGATGTAGTGGGTCATTTAGACTTTCTGTATCCTTATTAATTTTTTGCCTAGAGTATCTATCCAGTGATGTCAGTGGGGTGTTGAAATCCCCTGTTATGATTGTATAGCTGTCAATTTCTTCTTTGTAGTCCTTCAGAAGTTTTTAAATATATTTTGGTGCTCCCTCTTTGGATGCATATATGTTTACCAAGGTTATATCTTCCTTTTGGATCAATCATTTTAATATTATGTAGTGGCCTTCTTTGTCTCTAGTTACAGCCTTATTTTGAAGTGAATTTTATTGGTTATGAGTATTGCTACCCCAGCTTTTTTTTTCTTTCCATTTGCTTGGAAATTTTTTTTCCATCCCTTCACTTTCAACCTATGTGAATCATTTGTTGTGAGGTGCATCTTTTGCATACAACATATACATGAATCATGCTTTCTTATCCAATCAACTAATCTATGTCTTTTGATTAGAGCATTTAATCCATTTACATTTAACATTATTATTGATATCTACTTATTTATTGCCATTTTTGTTTATTGTGTTTATATTTTTCTTCCTCTTTCTTCTACTAATTACAGAAATCATTTTAACATTTCTTGCAGTGCTGGTTTGGTGCTAATATATTCCTTTAACCTTTTTGTCTGGGAAGCTCTTTATTTGACCTTCTATTTTGAATGATAGCCTAGCTGAATAGAATAGTCTTGATTTCAGATCATTGTTTTTCATTACCTTGATTACTTCATGCCATTCCCTTCTGACCTATAGTGTTTCTGTTGAAAAGTCAGCTGATAGCCTTATGGGGGCTCCTTTGTCAGTAACCTGTTGCTTATCTCTAGCTGCCTTTATTAGGATTCTCTCCTTGTCTCCAATTTTTGGCATTTTAATTTTATGTGTGCTAATTGGGGCCTGCATGGGTTCTTCTTACTGGGGGCTCTATGTGCTTCTTATACTTGCATGCCATTTTCCTTCACCAAGTCAGGGATGTTTTCTATCACTACTTCAAATATATTCTCTAACCCTTGCTCCTTTTTTTCTTCTTCTGGAAGTCCTATGATGCGGATGTTGTTATGTTTCATATAGTCCCACAGTTGTCTTAGGCTGTATTCCTGTGGGGTTTTTTTTGTTTTTGTTTTTAATTTTTTTTCTTTATTGATTTTTAGAGAAAGGGGAAGGGAGAGTGAGAGAGAGATACAAACATCAATGAAAGAGAACATCCATTGGCCCACTCTTGCATGCCCCCAAATGGGGACTTGGGTCATAACCTGACCAGGAATTGAATTGGAAACCTCTTACTATCTGGGTTGACACTCAACCACAGAGGCACATCGGCCAGGCCACACCTGTTTTTCACTTGTTTTTCTCTTTTTGGTTCTCTGATTGAGCAGTTTTTTCTACCCTGTCTTCTAATTCACTGACCGATCCTTGGCTTCTTCTACTCTGCTGGTTATTCCTTCCAATGTGTTGTTGTTATTTTTTAAAAAAATATTAATTTATATATTTATTTATTTTTGTTACAAATGTTTCTCTTTTTCTCCCCATTAACACCCTACTACCCCTCTGTCCCCACATTGTCCCCAGCTTTCTTGTCCATGTCCATTAGTTATATATACATGTATATAAGTCTGTGGTTTATCTCCCTCCCCGAGCCCCTCTTCTGAGGATTGTCAGTCTGGACACTACTTCCACATTTTTGGAACTACCCTGTTCTTAAGACTGTTATGTTCATTATATTTCACAAATAAGTGAGATAATATGATGCTTGTCTTTCTCTGCTTGGCTTGTTTCGCTTAAGATAATACTTTCCAGGTCCCTCCATGTCGTCTCAAAAAATGAAAGATCTTTCTTTCTTACAGCTGCATAGTACTCCATTGTGTATATGTACCACTGCTTTTTTATTCATTTGTCTACGGATGGACACTTGGGCTGTCCAGATCTTAGCTATTGTAAATAGTGCTGCTACAAACATGGGGATACATATATTCTTTCTGATTGGTGTTTTAGGTTTCTTAGGGTATATTCCTAGAAGTGGAATTACTGGGTCAATGAAAGCTCAATTTTTAATTTTTTGAGGTAACATCATAGTGTTTTCCATAGTGGCTGCACTAGTCTGTATTCCCACCAGCAGTGTACTAGAGTCCCCTTTTCTCCACACCCTTGCCAACACTTGTTGTTGGATGACTTGTTGATGGCAGCTATTCTGACAGGTGTCAGGTGATGCCTCATTGTTTTAATTTGCAT